GACATCGTATGGGCATATAGCCTATGCACACCCTCCCAAATGATCTCTAGGTCACTTAGAATACCTAATGCAATGTACCTGCTACATAAATAGCAGTAGTGCATCGTTCTGGAATTAATGACGAGGAAGGAAAATCTGAACATGCTCACTATGAATACAGTTCATTTTTTCCAAGATTTTCGACCTGTGGTTGGGTGGATCTGAGGACTTGGCACTGGTGAATACAGAGGGCAATTGTATTGATGCATGGGTAATGGACATATGAAACGTATGCAGATGTGTTTATGCATATGCATACAGTAACCGCTCTCCACTCTATGTCCCTGACCTCCTCTGCAAAATGTATCCTGTGGGCCTCCCTGCGGCCTCCCATTCCAGAAATACTCTAACGAGACAGAAACAAGGGGTTTTTATGTGGAATCACTATGAAGTGTACAGGTTGATCTCCAGGCATAGGTAACCCAAAGTGAGGGACAGTGTGACCCCCTCCAGGGAGGGAGAGCAGTGTGAGGACTCCGTGCAGCCCAGGCTCCACCAGCAGGATGGATTCAGGCCTCACCACAGTGCAGCCTGAGCTGGGAAGGTCTCCAGTGACAAACTGCACTGTGTGCAAAAGTGGAGGCCAGGAACAGCGTTCCCCACATGGCCTCATTCCAGGCTCTGCGGCAGGCAGCAATGCTATCTCACATTCTTGGGGTAACATGATAAGAGATTCTTTTTTGGGAGTGGGTAGCAGTACTTGGGCCTCATGTTTTCTAGGAAAGTACTCTACAATCTGAGCCACACTGCCAGCCTTTTTTTTTTTAGTTGGCAGTACTTGAGTTTGAATTCAGAACCTTGAACTTGCTAGGCAGGTACTCTACCACTTGAGCCACTGTGTCAGCCCTTTTTGTGTGTATGTTGGGTATTTTCAAGTTGGAGTCTTGCAAACTATTTGCCCAGGCTGGCCTCTAACTTCAATCCTCCTGATCTCTGCCTCCTGAGTAGCTAGGATTACCAGCATAAGCCACCAGCAGTTGGCCTTTCTCTTTACTTGTTTTTTAGATAGGGTCTTGTGTTTTTACCTGGGGCTAGCCTTGGACCTCAATCCTCCTACCTACACCTTCCTAGTAGCTGGGATTACAAGCATGAACTATCATGCCTGATCTCAATAAATATCTCAATGCTATATTTTTAAAAGTCAAAATTAATTCATGAATCCACAATGCTACTAAATTAAACAGCTTCCCATATGAACCACAATCACGCGCCTTGGAATTTACTTAGATAAGTTGAAAACTTCTGTCCACACAAAAACCTACACATGGATGTTTTTAGCAGCTTTATTCATAACTGCCAAAATTTGGAAGCAACTAAGATGTCCCCAGTAAAGTGACACATCTAGACCAGGGAATATTATTCAGTGCTAAAAAGCAATGAACCATCAAGCCATGAAAAAGATGTGGAGGAAACCAAAAGGGATATTACTAAGTGAAAGAAGTCAATCCAAAAAAAGGCTACAATAAAGGAAATGCAAATTAAAACCATGCTAAGATTCCACCTCACCCCTGTTAGAATAGCCATCATCAGCAACACCATCAACAACAGGTGTTGGCGAGGATGCGGGGGAAAAAGGAACCCTCTTCCACTGTTGGTGGGAATGTAAACTAGTACAACCCTTTGGAAAAATTTGGGAGGCTACTTTAAAAAGCTAGACATTGATCTACCATTTGATCTGCAATACCACTTCTTGGGGATATACCCCAAAAGACTGTGACAGGTTCTCCAGAGGCACTGCAACCCATGTTTACTGTGGCACTATTCACAATAGCCAATTATGGAAACAAGCCAAGATACCCCACCAACTGACGAATGGATAAGAATGAATGGTATCTATTACACATGGAATTTTATGCAGCCATGAAGAAGAACGCAAAATGTATCATTTGCTGGGCAAATGGATGGAATTGGAGGGAACATCATTCTGAGTGAGGTTAGCCTGGCCCAAAAGACCAAAATCGTATGTCTCCCTCATATGCGGACATTAGATCAAGGGCAAACACAACAATGGGATTGGACTTTGAGCACATGATAAAAGCGAGAGCACACAAGGGAGGGGTGAGGATAGGTAACGACACCTAAAAATACTAGCTAGCATTTGTTGCCCTTAACGCAGCGAAACTAAAGCAGATACCTTAAAAGCAACTGAGGCCAATAGAGGAAGGAGACCAGGAACTAGAGAAAAGGTTAGATCAAAAAGAGTTAATCTAGAAGGTAACACACACGCACAGGAAATCAATGCGAGTCAATGCCCTGTATAGCTATCCTTATCTCAACCAGCAAAAACCCTTGTTCCTTCCTATTATTGCTTATACTCTCTCTACAACAAAATTAGAAATAAGGGCAAAATAGTTTCTGCTGGGTATTGAGGGGGTGGGGGGAGAGGGAGGGGGCGGAGTGGGTGGTAAGGGAGGGGGTGGGGGCAGGGGGGAGAAATGACCCAAGCATTGTATGCACATATGAATAAAAAAAAAAAAAAAGGCTACATACTGTATAATTCCACATACATGACATTCTGGAAAAGGAAAACGTATGGTGGCAGGAAGAAACTCAGTGACGGCCAGGGAGCACAGAGTACATTTAGAGCAGTGAAATTACCCTGTATGAAAATATAATGGTGGATAAGTGTCATTATATTTTGCACAACACCAAGAGTGAACCTGAAGGTAAGCTATGAACTCTGGGTAATAATGATATGTTCATGTAGACTCATCAATTGTTGTAAATGTGCCACCCAGGTGGGTGCTGTTGATAGCGAGGGAAGTTATGCGTGGATGTGGAAACTCTCTGTACCTTCCCCTCAATTTTGCTGTAATCCTAAAACTGCTCTAAGACAATTAAATCTTTATTTATTTGAGATGATAGCTCACTATGTAGCCCAAGGTGGCTTTGAATTGTGATCCTCCTAACTGAGCTTCCTGAGTGTTGGGATTATACAGTCATGCACCATCATGCCAGACCTAAGGTCTTTAATTTTTTTTTTTTTTAAAAACTATGTTGAACAAACCGTCAAAATTTTAAATAAATAAAGATCAACAGGGAGATTTCAAAATTCTGTGAATTGCCTTAAAATGACAATATGTTGGTCCTAAAAGACACCCAGGACCTCCGAGTGGTACCAACAGGGGGTTTCTGGAAGGTGGCAGCATCTAATCTGTGGCCTTTGATGTCCCATGGAGTCACAGCCACATTTCTGGGCCACTGAGGTGTTCCTGGCCAGCTCTCTGGGGACAGCTGCTGGTTCCAGGACCCACAGTGTGTGCGTATTCAGTAAGGTCAGGTGCACAGGAACTTTTCCAAAGACAAGGCTGGAAGGGAGACGATGCTTATAGATTCCAAGATGCTCATTTCCCCCTTTATTTTCCATCACAGTGAAGAGATTACACGATGAGGGCCAGGTGCAACCAGGAGGAAATGCCCCAATTGTCCACAAGGAGGCAGTCAAGGGCAGTTCCAACCTCCTCCTGCTGATACAACCTCAGGTTTCTGAAATCACAGCTTTGGCAAACTTCTCATTTCTCTCTTCTCTCTCTATGTCTCTTTTTCTATTCCAAAGCTGTGAAAAATCATAGGCTCAAAAGCAAAATAAAGTCATGGATACATTTTTAACCTGCCGTGACAGTGTGCTTTGTGGCACTTTACAGCAAGGTGGGCTTAGGTCCAACTAAGAGTTTTGCAGGGGCACAGTTGCCAGTCACCTTCAGGGATTCCTCTTTGCCCCAGGCTGGCTTCCTGAACTCGGCAAGTACCCACCTGCAGGGTCAACTGCCAGGCTGCCAGGAGAAATTCCAGCCTCCAAGACAAAGGGCCCCTTATTCTTTGAAGCTCAGCTGTGGGGTAAGGCTCTCTGTAGCTCTTACCTGCACTTTATTTTGCAAAGCAGAGGTGATCTTTACAGAGACCTGAGCCTACTCACTTCCTGCCGAACACAAAGGAGAAATTCCACTCTCCTCCTGAAAGTGTTGCTCCTAAATCCAGATGGAAGAAGCCTGGGTGATTTCAGACAGGCCCAGCCCCATGTGCTCCTGGGGTGCCTCCCATCCCTCCCCCGCTGACACACACCACAGGTCCCCCCACACCTTCATTATAGAATGGGACTTCCTACTTCTACCATTTAATTCAATGTACCAGCTCTAACAAACAAACACATACACAAACAAGCAGATTTCCTGTGGCTGTGAGAAGTGCTCAAACTGGTTTTACGGAAAAGTACTGACTCCTTCTTGGGGCCATGAATTAACTAATAGCAGGAGAAAGCTTGGCATCACTACCTTTATTTTACATCTCTTTGCTCCGAGCCATTCTCTTTGCAGTCACTTTGCAATCACCTTGGATTCCAGGAAATTACAGACAGCATTTTCATGACAAGGAACAGAAATTACACCCAACAGTAGACCTTTCTTTGGATGGACCACTTGCCTGGCTCCAGATAACAACTCTGGAACCCCTTTGGGGACCCTTGGACTGAGATAATGGTCAACCAGAACACACCTGTGACTGATACTGTTTAATTATGCATATCTTTATTCCCTGCCCCCAGTTCTTTTGTCTACTTAAACCTATAGCTCATGTCTGTACCCTGAAGGTGGCTGAAGATGAGCTGAGGGCTTATTCTCCCTCTTCCCACTGCATGTCCCGAGAACCATGTAATAAACCTCCTTTCTCTGCCTTCACCATGCCTCTTTATTTGGCGTTTAGGGGCGGGTGGCCGGACCTGGCATATGGAATTTCAGGTTTCATGGCGTTCTTCTCTCAGTTGTGAAGTGGGGACCCTGGGTCATTAGTGTAAGAGGAAGTATATAAAATTTATATATTTTATAGTTTTTTACGGTGGGGAGGTGGTGTTATTTTTGAGACAGGATATTGCTATGGAGCCCAGGCTGGCCTCAAACACATGATTCTCCTGCCTCTATTTCCCAAGTGCTGGGATTACAGAGCTGCACCACCATTCTGGGCTCAAAATTTAATGTTAAAAACCTACTGTGGAGTGCTTGCTTTGGCTGCACAGATCCTAAAACTGGAGCGATACCGAGGTTAGTCTGACCTCTGCACAAGGACAATATGCAAGTTCATGAAGCATTTCATATTTTTGCAATAATCTATTATATACTTTATGAAGAGAAGAACTCAAAGATGTCAGACACAAAGCAATGACAAGGACATAGGAACACTGATTGCCCTGACTGGGCTGGTACACATTGTGTACATGGGATGACACACCACACTGTACCTCAAAATATGTACAATGATTACCTGTTAATCAAAATTTTTTAAATGTTTAGCGACATACAAATGGTAATTACCCTAATTTCATCAATATCAGTACATGTATACACGTATATGTGTTTTGTTAAAGGGAAAGATGGATGGGGAAGGAAAGAGTGAATTCTAATACAAAAGGCAAATGGCTGTGGTCAGAGGCAGGAAGAATCCTGCTTTTTGGCAAAGCATGTTGAACGGCAAAGCTGGGTCCTCAAACCTCAAGCCCCTGCTTCCTTTCCTCTAATGTGGGGAGAACAGCCTATGTTCATGGCTCTCACTAATAGTCATGGGAGGGCCATGTGGTCCCTCTTCCTTCTGGAGCCATTTATATCCCACACCAGACTACCAGACAAACTAGGCGAGGCTGTGGAAACCCAGTTATCAGGGTGTGAACCCCAATCATCCTGGCTTCTGGTCCTGGAGAGGAGGCTTAAGAGGTGGGGTGAGGTTTATTCTGTAGTCCATCCCTCAGTGTTCCCTACTTTAGGAACTCAGGCAAGTTCTACCAGCTAACCCAGGCAGCTCTAAATGGACCTAGTCCCAAAGACAGCTTGGACTTTATCTGATCTCTGATTTGAATCTTAAATGTCACCCCCAAAGCCTGCATGCTAAAGACTAGATCACCAGCTGGTGGCACTGTTGGGAGGCAGTGAAACCTTCAGGCAGTAGGGTCTGATGGGAGAAAGTCAGATCACTGGGGACATGCCTTGAAAGAAATGTGGGACCCTGGCTCCTTCCTCTCTTTCTTTGCTTCCTGGCTGCCATAGCACGAGTAGCTTTGCTCTGCCATGTGCTCTCTACCATAGTTGCTACCTTGACACAGCCCCAAAAGCAACGAAGCCATGGAGTGAAAAACCAACCATGGACTGAATTCTCTATAATCATGAGCTAAAACGAACCTCTCCTCTTTATACATTGATTATCTCAAATATTTTATCATAATAACTGAAAGCTGTCTAACACAATATTAAACCAACGAAGTGTCCTAGAACTCGTGTTTACAAATCAAGATAGAATTAGTATTTGAAGGCAGGAGTATAAAAATACACACACATAGTTAAAAAGGGAGGATCAGTAACTGCCTCCCAAAGCTTACCCAGAGATCTTTCTTTTGTCTGGTTGGTCGACCTCACCACAGGAAGGCTTGCTCGAGTCCGGCTGCCTCTAGAAAAAGGACTTGGTGCTTCCCCTTCAGACATGGCTTCCAAAGAATCAGCAGATGTCTCTGATAAATGCTCAACTGGGTCCCCCAAATTGGGAGGTTGAGGACTGTGGGATAATTTGGGACTTCTTGTCTGCAAAAGATATTTTAAAGAGAGTGGGGAAAAAAGATTGTCATTAATTGTGTTATAGATCCTTTCACTGTCATCTCTGCAGGTCTGAAAAAACAATATGGCCAGGGGAAAGGAGTCCACGGGAAAGACTGGATAAGGAAAACCAAAGACCCAGTGGGTCAGAATCAGTTGTGAACATTACTGGGGAAAAAAGTCCCTGAGCATTCCATTCGTTTTTTTATTACTGCTCGATGGTGGTGGTTCACACCTGTAATCTTTGCTACTTGGAAGGCTGACATCAGGAGGATCCGGTCTGAAGCAAGCCTGGGCAAATAGTTCACAAGATGCCATCTCCAAAATAACCAGAGCAAAAATAGACTGGAGGTGTGGCTCAAGCGTTAGAGCACTTGCTTTGCAAGAGCAAAGAACTGAGTTCAATCCCAGTCCTGCCAAAACAAAAAATTTTTTTTTAAATCTGATCCAAAAAAAGTAAGAACAAAGAGAAAAAGGTAGATAACTGGCTGGGTAAGGAGAAAGAAAGTTATATATTTTTTTAATCACTGGACATCTAATGTGAAAATGCCATTCCAACAAAGCTGAAGACAAGCCACGTTACAAGGAAAGATGATGGAAAATCAATTCCTTTGCAGACAAATTCTCACAGTTGTTATCACAGCAGATTGGATTTCAATGTTTCTACAACACTCAATGTGGACGATGTCCTCCACCCGAGCAAATTGGGTACAACCAGTCATTCAAAGTCTGTTTCCTAAAATCAGTAAACTAACATGCTTAGGGAGGTATTTATATCACAGCTGATTATTTTTATTTCAAGACAGAAATACCATAAGTAAGATTATGTCTAACTTTGGACTTTTACTTACCTTACTAACAACAAAGGTATCCAAAATAGCTTAAACCCACACCCAGTGCCCAGTTGAGTTCTTTCTTGGTTAATTACACCATTATAACCAGGGCTGAATATGTAAAATGTTCATAATCTTTAGCCAAAAATACTCCTTGGACAGGAACTGCAGGTTGAGCACTGTGGGAGATTCAGCAAACACAGAACATGTTGGCTGGTGTCAGAGAGTTCTTAAACTAATTGGTGAAACTTGTGAAGAACAGCAAATAACACAAGATAATTATAATTAAAGTAGAAAGCATGAATTGTGTGGTATATCCATTCAGCTTTCAACAAACACTAATTGGCCACCTACCATATCCCAGGACTGTGGACTATGTACTGGGGACAGAGTGATGCAGAAAGCAGACAGGACTTCTGCCCTCGTGATGCTTCTAATCCAGAAAGGAGACAAACGCTAAAGACAAATTACAGTGCAAGAGGGGTGTGCACCTCAGATTAGGGGTGGGGTATCTATGTGTGTGTGTCTGAGTAAAGAATCAGAAAAGCACATGAACTTGGATCTCAGGAAGACAGAGGGAGATTGCAAGTGTGTGTATGTTGGGGTGGGGGGGGGCAGATGGAGTCAGATTGCAAAGTCCCCCGGGGCAGAGAGAGTGTGTGAGCCTGGAGACATGGTAGGAAAAAGACCATGACTCACAGTCTTGGAATCATGGCGACATTTCTCAGTTTGACTCTAAGGTAACGGAACACCACTGAGCTATCTAGACAGGAAAAAAGGATAAAACACGTTTTTACATCAGTCTGGCTATTGTGTACAGACAGAGATTACCACAAAGAAGGGCAGACGAGAGGAGTTAGGAACCTGGGGGTTAAACAGAAGGAATGCAATGTCTCAACCTCCTCTCCTCCCTGACTTGGACTCCAGGACTCCAGACACATTCCAGGAGGCAAGCTGACCAGAATTCATCAGGCAGATGAGCTGTCTCTTGCTAAGGCAGCAAGGCTGTGATGGGCTGGTGGTGGGACTTGGGGTGTTGGGTGCCAGTTTGTGGCATTCCTTAACTTCTGTTCATTCTTCCCAGAGCTGCCAGCACATTTTCAGGCTAAGAACCAAGGCATTTTGGTCTCAAGGTGGGGCCAGCTTCCTGGGGTACCATCAGTGCAGTCCTGCAGGGCTCCACTCTCCTAAGGGTTCACATTGCTGTGCCAGTCTTGAAATTCTTAATAATGTTTTTGGAGGGGAGTGGAGTTCAAACTAGGGTTTGAACACAGAGCCTCTCACTTGCTAGGCAGATGCTCTACTACTTGAGTTAGTGCCCCTATCCTTTTTGGCTATAGTTGTTTTTCAGAAGGGGTCTCACATTTTGGCCCAGAGCTGACCTCAGACCAAGATCCTCTTACCTATGCCTCCTGCTAGCTGGAATTATAGACTTGACCTACCATGCATGGTTTATTTGTTGAAATGAGTATCTCACTTTTTGTTTTAATGATTTTTTTTTTTTAATAAGGGACACTGTAGTTAGTACAGCATTCAGGCTTTGGCTGCAGATCTCTTTAAGGGAGGCTCCAGTTGTTCCTGACATTCTAGGGAATCCATCTTTCTTGATAAAAGTACACGGAGACCCTCTTTGGCACAAGCGTTATTGCATTACCTGGACCCCCACACCTCACTATACTTCTTAGAATCTTCCCATAAAGGGAAACAGGAATACAGTCAGCTCTTCCCCTCTGCGACCCTTAAGAGTAGCTTTAAGGAGATGGGTGTTCCACAGGAAACTCAGCCAGTTACCAGCCAATCAGATTCTAAGCTAAACTCACAGCCAGAAAGGACACTGATTAACAAGGCAATTGCCACTTCCAGTTAACGTTTCTGTGCAAATTTCCAAGTGGTTCCAGATTTATTTTTCATAAGGACTCTTTCTATTCTGGGGTTCTGGTTTTGGCACTCTGAAATTTCACAGTATTATGTGACTAGCAAAATCATCCCTAAACCACTGGCTAACTCATCAAGACTGATAAATTCATGTGGAGTGGAGAAGCTTCCTGATTTCTACCCTCAGCAGAATGTCAAGCTGAGATATCCTCAGCCTTAGCTTTAAAGAGAGAGAGAGAGAGAGAGAGAGAGAGAGAGAGAGAGAGAGAGAGAGAGAGAGAGACATTTAGTCTACCAAGATAGCCAAGACACAATCTTCCTTTAAGCAGTATGGCTGTATTTACAGTCTCTCTTCAATTTGGTCATCTTGGTAATCTACGGCAGACATTTGATAAGTTGTCATCTTCCACTGCAAAAGGCAATAATCCTTGAAGAAAAATAAAAATCAAATCTCTATTTCTTGGCTAGGGTCACCGTGTTAGTAGGTAAGTATAAAAGCAGAGATGTAATGGCTATTTTTTTCTAACTTCTTATACCTAGCTGTTCAGTTCCAGATGTACACTTCTCTTGTTTTTTATGTCATTCAAATTCTAATTAAAAACTATTGCTGCACATTAGCAATCTCTTCACACATGGTTCCCTCTGCTCAGATGCTAGCTTGCTGCGGGGACATCCTTTAGTTCAGAGAACAGACAATGGAAATTGTTGACACTGTATCAGATACCCTGTGACTTGACACGTTGAAAAAAAAAAGACAGAAAGCATTTGGAACAGGAAGTCTATAGTAAACACAAGCACGGGGGGTGACAAGTACTGCTTATGGTTTTGGGGCTCATAAGGCATTGAAGGTACATTTTGGGACCAAATATAATATATTGATAACTAGTGGATGGGAAGAGCAAAGACATGTCTCTGAGCGTACAGAAGAGCTTGGTGAAGAAGTGTGGTGGGTGGGGAGAGGAGAGGGAGCTTAGGTGAGGAAGGTACTAATGGCCACCCTGAGCTGAGCCATGAAGAGTGTGGTCACCAGCTCCTAGCTCAGTAACCCCTGATTAGATTAAGCAAGCCACCTTGTCTTAGCAGAACCAATTAGATTCTCTCCCCTAGAAACAGCCTTGAGAACTTGGAAATGTGAAGGTTGTTTGAAGCTGTGTCTGAAAGCATGAGGAAAGGTAAAGAGAGAAAGACAAAAACAGACCCATGTAGGAGCACAAAAGTGAAAGATGGGCAGACTCCAGTGAGAGAGCCCCAAGGACAAAGACAGCAACTTCTGGCTCCCCACTCCTACCTCCTGTGCAGTGAAGCCCTTCCAGCTAGTTCCTCCAACCAGTTCCATTTTTGTTTTTGCGCTGGTTTAGGATGACTGTCTTGCAAGCAGATGATTACTGACAAACACCAATTCTAATCTGTCCTCCTGCCCAGGCTACTGTGCAGCTCACATATTTATAATATGAGTAATAACCATGGGGGACAGTTAACCTTCTGGAGTAGTAGATCCCATTATTTTATATTTCAAGGACTAAAATTTCTAAAAAATAAAATAAAATAAATATAGATAGACGCTTACAACATAGGAGTGCTGTCTTTATTTTGCAGTCAGAGGAATTGGAAAACAACCTTAATGGCTGATAGCCCATTGGTAGAGCATGTGCTTAGCATACACAAGGCCCTGGGTTCAATTCCCAAAACCAGAAGAAAACTTCACTTTCTTTGATGGCATTAATATCATAAAAGAGGAAACATTTTAATACCCCAAGATGTGAGGCAGGACACTGACAGAATTTCATATTTTGCCTCATTTTGCCTGAGATGGAGCTTTTCTGGGCCACAGAGTCTACAGTGTAGTATTTGGAGTCTCTGCCCTAAGCTGCTGAATACAGAGCTGCCCTCAGCTGGGAGGAAGCAGGGGATGGTAGAAATGCTCTCTGGACAACCTGAACAGGACTCAAGGGTCCCTAAGACTGGACTTTCTTTGTTGTTCCATGGAGACCCATGACACTAATATCCCTGTGTTTCCATCAAAACCTTCTAGAGATTTTCCTTATCAGATACAAATCCAAACAATGGGGTGATCTATATGACCACATCACCTGGACCCACTCAGCTTTTCTAGTCTTCTCTTCGTCACAGAGGACTTCCTGTCACCAAGAAATGCTAGTGAGCTGGGTGCACTGACTCATGCCTGTAATCCTAGTTGCTGGGGAGGTGGAGCCCAGTTCAAGACTAGGTCAGGTATAAAGTTCACAAGATCCCATTTCAACCAATAAAAAGCTGGGTGTG